TAGACTGGGAAGTCACTGAGGTTCTCCTCAGGATCTGTGGCCTCCCCTAGTTTCTCTTCATTTGGATTCCTCAATAATGTTCCAGATTCGAGTTTTTCCCCTTTCACACCTCTTCGTCCGATTTCGTTGAAAAGTCCTATCTTTTTGGCTTCTTTGAAGATAGTATCCCCTGATTTTTATCGAGAGTTTTCTTAAGTAACATTATGTCACGTAAATATAAGCCCTAATTAAATAAAATTAGCAGGATGAAACACTTTAATAATTTCTTCTCGAAACTGAAGCCAAACCATAGGATAGACTGAGAAGTCACCGATGTTTGCCTCCGGATCTACGACCTCCCCTAGTTTCTCTTCGCTTGAATTCCTCAACAATGTTCCAGATTTGAGTCTTTCCCCTTCCACACCTCTTCGTCCGATTTCGTTGAAAGGTCCTATCCTTTTGACTTCTTTGAAGATAGTATTCCCTGATTTTTATCGAGAGTTTTCTTAGGTGACTTCGGTCATTTAAGATGTAATTAACTATGGGGGATTGCCCTTATAGGAAACTTTTCCAAACCCAGCCTAAAATAAATCCTGTTTAATTCTTTGTATTAAATAGGGGAACTTGTCGGCAAATAAAATGATTTTCGCAGACCAAACGGATGTCATATATTTCTTAGTTTATTTGATCGACTTGTGTTAATCCCTCGGGATAGATACAGGATTTGAGGTAGAACGTTCTTTCATTTAAACTGTGAAAAATATGAGGTCAGTTTGATTTCATATTTTTTCTAAAATTATATATATATGTAAATTAAAACGTCCTTCCGAAGCGGAGCGGGTTTTCGTTCCCGGCGACCGACAGCTTCTTACGGGCAACTCTCCCAATTTTTCTCTTTAGCGCCGACAATTGAGTGTCATATTTTCATTTAATTCTAATAAATTAAAATCATTTTTATACAATATGTCTAAGTCTTTCTAGTTCTACCTCTGCATTCTTAACATAAGTCGAATCTAAAGCATTTACTCTCCTAATCAGATCATCAAATGGTCGACGTTTAATGTGGCCAAACCATCTAAGATGACTGTCTCTAATTTTGTCCACCACTGGAGCTACACCAACCCTATCACGGATATATTCATTTCGTATTTTGCCTCTAAGCGTAAAGCCACTCATCGATCTAAGCATTCTCATCTCGATAATACTTAACTTAGTTTTATGCTTCTTGCTTCTCTTTTAAAGGTCAACATTCAGTTCCATAGAGCATTGCAAGTCTCACGACCATCTTATAAAATTTTCCTTTCAATCTAAGCGGTACTTTTCTATCACATAATAAGTCCGAAGCATTCCTCTGAATTCTATTAATAGCATCCTCATCTATATCACCATCACTTTGAATAATATACCTGAGATATCTAAAGGGTCACACCTTTTAATAATTTGATCACTCATAGTTACAATTCTGTCACTAGAGTCACTAGAGCAACTACTACTAAAATTACATTCAATGTATTTAGTTTTAGTTCTACTCAAACGAAGGCATTTTTCGCTGATGATATCTTTCTCGTGGATAAGACTCGAGAGAGCTCAAAAAAAACTTGAATTATAGAGGTCTACATTGCAATTTTAGACATACAACAAGGTACATCCACCTGTAAATGTCCGGTAAGAGCATCCATAACTAAAACAAAAGGATATGGGCTTAAAGCTGATCCCTGATGTAATCCAACTGAAATAAGAAAATAATTAGTCAATCCTCCTTCAGTTTGAACACAAGTAACAATTCTAGTATACATATCTTTAATAACTTGAATATAAGTCATTTCAACACCTTTCTTCTCAAGAACTCTCCCAAGGATATCTCTTGGAACCTTATCGTAAGCTTTTTCTAAATTAATAAAAATCAAATGTAGATCCTTCTTATTATCTCTGAACTTCTCCATCAAATCTCCCAATAAATACATAGTTTCCATAGTAGACCTGCTCGGCATAAATCCAAATTGATTATGAGAAATATTTGCAATATGTCTTAACCTATGTTCAATTACCCTCTATCATAACTTTAAAGTATGACACATCAACTTAATTCCTCTATAATTTACACACTCTTGTGCATCCTTTTTATTCTTAAAAATGGGGACTAAAATACTCTTCTTTGACTTCGCAAGCTTCTTTAGTTTTTAAAATAATATTAAAGAGTTTAATAAGCCAAGAAGCTCCCAAATCGGATATCATCAGGTCCTACAAACTTTTCACCCTTTATTTTCTTTAAAGCTTCTTCAACTTCTTTTTTATCAATGTGATGGTAAAAATGAAATATTTTATTATTATTAACGATATTAAAATCACTAAGGACAATCGTATTTTCAAGAACTTTATTAAAAATTTTATCAAAATAACTCACCCACCTATGTTAAATATTTTTTTTCTTAGAAAAACACTTTTTTCATTTTTATCTTTAATACAATTTACTTGAATTAAAGCTTTACTTTTCTTTTCTCTTTGTTTGGTTATTTTATACATATATTTTCACCATCTTTAGTATATAATTTATTATAAAGATCACTAAAAGTAAAATTTTTAATGTTACAGATTGTTCTCTTAGACTCTCGACGGGCCATTTTATATTTTTTTCGATTATCTGAGCTTTTACATTTACCAGTTTTTATAACATAACTTTTTATATTTTATTTTTTCTTGACATTGTTATTCCACCACTAACTATTTTTATTTATAGAAATTTTTTCTTTTAATTCTCCAAGTACATATTTTGTCACTTATTTAATAGTGTTTTTACTTTATCCCACATAGAATTTGTTTCTTCATGAACATCCTAAATCTTGAAGTTTACTTATAAAAATAATTTTATTTGTATCTTTTAGGTGTCCTCATCTAATTCTACGATAATAATTCCTAGTATTCTTTAACTAATAATCGATGTTGAGTACTTAAATCCTCAATTTGAATGATCTTACAATCTTTACATTTTTTATGATCTTTTCTTCTCATAAGAAAATAATCAATTTGTGTTTTATTAGATCCATTATTATAGGCAATAATATGCTCATCTCTTTTCTTGAATAAAGTATTAGAAATAACAAAATCATACATTAAAGCAAAATTTAATATGGCTCTACCTTCTTTAGTAATCACTCCAAAATGGTAGCCACCATGAATATCACCATGAATATATCTAAAATCTTCTACCACTCTAACGACATGTCTATTTAAATCTCCTCCAATAAAAATTTTTTCTTCAAGAGATATCATTTGTATTAAGTCTTCTAGGTCATTCCAGAATTTATATTTAGAACATATATCTACACCTACTTGAGCAACATAAACATTTATAATATTAAAAATTTCAGTATCAACAACAATATTAAGGGCTGTAATTCTATCTTCAATTTTATTAATTTTTACAACATTATCTTTCAAACTCATATCTATAATTACACCTACACAATATCAAGTGTGACTCTTACCTAAATACCAATGCTTAAAGCCTAAGTTATCAATCTATTTAGCCTTTTCTCCAACCCATGTAATTTCTTGAAAATATAAGATATTTATCTTTCTATGAATCAAAATATCAATTAATTCCATTAATTTACCTGTGAGAGTATCTATATTCAAAGATTTTATCCTAATATTAGTTTCATGGACTAACTTATTTACCTGCATCAATCCATAATGTGGGAAACTTGCTTATTTGACAGTACGCCTGGGCACCGGTGTAGTGACTCTTGCACACTTCATTGTATTCAGGTCATACAGCGCGTCATTTCTAAGGTACACACTAGTGTTTACACAATGATCCAAATGATTCATGTCATGATTTTTTGACAAATTTTACGCTGGTTGTCGACTACTTCACACAACCCTCCACTTTTTACATTCGAAACTTGGAGCCCGACAATGGCAGTGTTCTCATCAAATGATTATCATAAACATAATTTAAAAAATTGGCATGCAACTATGAAATGGACAACATTCATTCATTTTCTTAAAGAAGTGAAAAATCAATCACTATCAGTTTCGTCTCCATCAATGTTCCACTAAGCCCACTAGCCCTCGATCTTCATTATTTAGATCATAGCGCCTCAATGTCATGGGAAAATTATTGTCACGCCATCAATTTTTGGACTATTGCTATTATATGTAATTCATTTTCAACTTACTCATCAACCTGTGAACTATTGTAACTATTATGTAATTACTATTCCTTAAATATGCACGTTCCATATTACAAACTCTCATGATTGTATAAATGCTACATAAATGTTAGAATAAAAAATTCGAGTAAATCTCTCTGATTTTTACCAAAGATATTTAAGGATTTCTTGCAAGGGATACTGAATATTAAGAACCTCAATGAGCACATTTTTTATCATCAAGAGTTATAATGACTACTGGATTGAGTGATTGTCTGATTAAGTAAAAACAAATGAAAGCAAAAAAATCGAGCTTAGAATCTCAAAATCAAAGGCAACAGATTTTAGCAAGCTGCAAAGCAATTGCAATTATAGTTTGATTCACTTTCTTTCAAGCCAAGCCCAGCAAATGACTATTCTTCAACAACATAAAGCTAAGAATCAACAAAAAGTGTCACGCACTTGTAGTCAGGACTTTCAAAGAGTCTGAGCACTGGAGGATCTGCATCTGATGATAGTATTGCCTGTAATAGAGAAAAGAAAAGAGCTATCAAATTGCACCTTCAAAACTCGTACATTGCAAAAGCGATACGACCAATATTTTAAAACAACAAAATGCAAATTCATTTATTGTCATGCTCTATAAGTTCCATCAACTACATCATGATTCCCTAAAACCCTAATAAACATGCAGAAATTTTTTTTACTATCTCATCACCAAAGATGCTACTCTAATTGTCCTTCCAATAAAATCAATTCTGACATCTATCTACACTTTCAATCTTACCACACTCAAACTGACTAGCATTGACTTTCGTCCATAAAATGGGTGATTACAGTATAGCCAGTCTAATAGAAGTTTGATAAAATATACCGTTAAATCCACCTGATGCCATCTCACACCCTCTTCAAATCAAATCATATTCATATTTTTTTTTTATATAATCGATGCAAGTTACTTAAACACACATACATAAATATCACATACTTTTTCACGAATTATGAATGGAATTATTGACAATTATTTATTCACTAAATTGTACAGTACACTCATATTCTTGATTATAGTAAACTTAAACCCCCATATTTTTTATTTTTTCCCCCAACTTATGGCTTTTCACTTATTTTAAGTTCAACCTATCACAATTCTAGCATCTACAAAAAACATATATTAAAATTTTTCATTTTAAATATCTTTTGTGAGCATCTCCATAAGCATTACAAATATTAATAAAGTTAATGCCTAGCCTTAGCCCAAAACATACTGACATTGGATACAGTACTTAGAAAAGCAATAACGAAAATTTTATTTTAAAATTAAAAATAAACAAATCAACTCAAGCAAAATGCAGTTCGTACATGTGCCTTCTCAGTAGTTCAAAAGAAAAACAGTGGTACTATAACGGGAAGAAAAAAATAGTTTGTGAATAATTGATATAGATACCAGCTAAGCATTTCAGATGCATTTAACCTATAAATTTGCAGCCTACTACTGAAGAATACCAATATCAGGTCAGCATCCTCAGCTATTTGAATGGCTTCACCTATTGAAACTATACCAACCTGGAATAAATTATGAAACAAAAGAAGACGGCTGTAAAATGTCATTACCAAATGGAAACAGAAGAAAAACTTTTAAGAAAACTCACCATATTTTGCTGTTCATCTAATAGCCTCACAGAAGGTGATCTGGAGCAAGAAATTTTATGTTACTAGATCCAAAAAACATGCAAGTGAAATGTTTTATTATGACACGAAACCAATCAATGCCTTCCAAAACGTTCACTCAAAGATGATTCATAGTGGAAATAAAACAAAAATTTGTAGTCTTATCACGTACATCATATAATCGTTTTCAATTGAAAAAATAAATAAAAAGAAAGAAAATCCTGTATTCTCAAAAATACTATCTACTAAAGGAATCTAACTTTAAGAAGTAAGAAATTGAAGTTCTTTCACTTACAAATGAAACTTATGAATCCCTTAATCTTTGTGATTCCATGCCATAATAGTTGTGGTAACTTGTATTAACATCCTTAAAAAAAAGGCTGTTTCCTATTAGTCTATGTTCAAAAACAACTTTACCTTGGGACCATAACATTACATAAACCCTCCTGATAAGCAGCCAGAGTAACACCAGATGAATTCTATTAACATGGCAAAGTACTCTCTAATTTTCCAATCTTTCCATCTTTCTCTCAAACTACCTAACGCAACCTTACTAAATTTATGGACTTGGTAGGGAAGCCAAGCCTCTAACCTGTCTCGTTCTATCCATTTATTCTTCTTCTTTGTTTTTCTTGACAACCAAAAGCATCACCCTAAAGCACAATAGAAAGTTGGAAAAGAATGAAGTGGTTAGAAATTAAAGAATCCTGACAGAAAGAGAGATACATGACTTTGAAAATTATGGAAAAGAGGAGAGCCATAAGGTAGTTTCATGATGAGAGAGGGAGAGGGAGAGGGAGAGGGAGAGGGAGAGGGAGAATAAATAAAAACCATGCAAGTTGTTAGGACTTAGCTTATGAAAATACTTATTTATTTTCTCTTTTCTCACTATTATAAATAAATAAATAAATATTTTTCAAAAGTAATTCATAATTTATCATTCTGTCTATATGCATTCAAATCCCTATTTACAAAAAACAGGTTACAATTAAAATTAGAATAAATTATATCTCATATCTAGATAACTTTCAAAAAACCGTGTCCTGTATTTAAAATAAAGATGATCATAAAATAAATACATTTAAAATTGAAATCAAACTCTAAAATAATTAAAAATAAAAGAAAAATCTATAAATAATCTAGAGTTATTTATATTCATGTCTTGTATCATACTAACTCCAATAAGGCAATTAGATTTCTTTGAAGGTCATTCAAAAGCACTTACTTTGTAGGCTCATTTCTAAGGTTGAAGAGTGGTGCAATTAGTTCATAAGCATCTATTGTATTAACATGTGTGATGCAACACGTCAAGTAGTTCATAGTCCATGTCCCAACACGATGCATGTTTTTGCATTAAAAATTTTCAAAATCTGATTGGGAAGGTAGTTGAAAATTAAACGGAATGTGGCTAAAGTTAAAGTTAGACGGGAGATGATTGAAAGTTGGTTAGAAGGTGATTTTGATACATTTGGTTAACCATACTCATCCAAGCTCCATGTGATTTGCCTATGCATGTTCAAATAAGGGTTGCACCATTCAAGGCATGCTTTAAGGCTTATCCAACAAATCAAGTTTAAATCTACATGAAAAAAGAAAGACTTAAGCAACACTAAAAATATCCATGTAAAAAGTGACTGACCCCTATCCTTTCTATTTGACCTTGAAATTGTTTTTTTTTTTTTTTGATTTATAAATTAGTTATGTAGTCTATTTTGATGAATATTGAACGGTTAAAAGAAAATTTTTGTATTCAAAACTTCGTGAAGTTTCATGCTCGATTCCCCTCTTAAAATTTTAGTTAGATCCAATTAATTTTATCTTTCCACCCTATCCATCCCTTGATTTTCCATCATCTACAATTCCCTCACAATATTAAAATAAATACATAACTTCACTGTAAACAACTGACCCCTCCGCATATCTTAAAGCTGTAAGCATCCATGCTCTTGGATTTCATCCTCACTACCCTACAAATCTTCACCAAGATTTTTCTTCCTTACCAATAATTAAATAATTAAATCAATATCATACCTCTTGGCCAAGTCCACTCCATAATACATATGCGACCAAAACTTCACCCAAACTCACAAAATAATTCATCTCATCGGGTTACTTCTCGGCCTCCACATACAAACCCAACAAGAACCTATCCTAAAATGTAGCAATTACAAAGGCTTCCCACATTTCACTACACAATCACAAGCAAAAGCAGACCATTCCATTTCAAACCACCACCCCACAAATTTTTATTGCAAACATACAAAGTAAAACATGGAAGCTTTGAATCAAAATGTCGTCATGCATTTTGCAACCATATGGATTAGTACCATAAAAGAGGATTACAATCACATTATAGCAATAACTCAGATTCAATTCATATTTCTTAAAAAGTAGCAAATAACACTTTTGGAACTTGAAAAACAACTTGCACATCACAAAAAAAAAATACAATTACACCAAAATGAGTGCAACAAAATGTTTTTTCATCTCAATAGAATACAATGGAGAAAAAGAATTAATATAGCAAACCCCACTTAGTGGGATAAAGGCTTGTTGTTGTGTTGTAGTAGTAGTTATAACAATAATAGTATCATGTCCTTTGAAATAAGCCCGAGCATGATCTTAAAGTCTAATGCACAATCTAAAACTTAGACTCAACATGTTTCAGTTATTAATGAATGATCACCACAATTAAGCTTAAGGGTATGGTCATACTAGCGCACAATCTTAAAGTTAGAGTCAACAAAGAGTTCAATTACTAATGATTGATCGCTACCATTAAGCTTAAGGGTATGATCATCTAGTAATCATTAAAAACCAATTCATCATAACAATTTTGAACGAGAAAATGTGGTGAACATGCTTGAACTTTTGGATGGATGGCCTTTCAATGCGGATGATAAAATGATAATATGCATAATCTTCATAAATAGTAATTAGATGCGTCAACAATGGATGATTTATAATATCTATAGAATTACCATCGATTAAAATGATAGTCATGGTCATGATATGACATTATAACGATAAGCACTTTGTAATACAATGCATTATAATTATCATATTTATACGAATAACAATAACGATCATAATTGTTAGGGGTTATATTAGGAAATAATTTATTACAGTGAGAAATTATGAGGAATAAATTATTTTCTTAGATTAAGGAGTTATTTCCTTTCTTATTTTATATTTCTATTTCCATAGATTAGTTATTATTTCCTTCCCTATTTTAAGCTTTCCTATTTTATGTTATTTACTTTATCTCCAAATAATTGATCTGATTTAATTATTGGAGATATTAGGTGAAATATCTTTCATTTTTATATTATTTCTTTTTATTATCTTTCCTATTCTAGGATCCATGTAAAGGTTATTTATACCCGCTTTCATATCAATGAAATTATCCAGAATGCTTCTTTATTTCCGCATTAATCTGAAATTGAACATGATATCAGAGCCAAATTTCGTATCCTAGCCACTGGCCCTCCTTCCACAGCCGTCGGACTCCATCGTCCTTGCGAGAAGGGAGGCACGCTTTCTCTCTGTGGAGGCCCTCACTGACAAAACAGATCTCTGCAAACAACAGGAATTGCGAGCCGTGACTTTTGTGTGTTGCGGGAGCTAACGTTAGAGAGCAATTTTCTCTCTCTAGCGGAAATCCCTCTCCGTCGGTGGGTTGTAGTTCTTCCAAATCCAGAGATTTGTGACCTGCGCCACCGTCAATCGAATACTAATTCTGTCCGTTGGTAGGATGTGGTCCTACTACGTTTCAGAATCAAGAGATTTGTGACTTATGTCTGCCCTCAATCGAACACAAATCCTATATGTTAACGAGTTGCAACTGTTCTGAATCCAGAGTTTTGTGACCTACGCCTGCCCTCAATTGAACACAAGTCTCGACCTCTGCAAAATATTATGATCCTCTCTTGTGGAAAATCCCTATGTCTATGACCTACCCCTAGAAGGATACTACTGGAAGCGGGATTGAACGCAGTCGCTGTAGCTGTTAAACTCCTGTATCGAACATCTAGACGCCAACAAGAGGGAGAATTTTCTCTTTCTAGTATGGGCGGACCTCTCTCAACTACTTCTAGGGGAAATCCCAGGCTTGGCTCCCCTGCAAATTGTTCATCCGCATCTGCTCCTACCGTCGCTTCTCTCTCGTGCAGTCGTCGCCACCGCCGGACCTCCTTCCTACAGTTGTCTGGCTTTGCGTCTTGTTCCGTGCAGGTTCTTCCCATTGTTTTTTGACGCCTGCTCTCTACAGCAGTCTGGCTTCCTGGTTTCTAATAGTCTGGCTTTCATGATTTCATGCAATGCCTCATCTTCTAGGCAGTAGTAGCACTATCCTTACTAGTGACATACATTGAACTCTTCTTTCTCATTCCAATAACAAGTCATATGTGGTACTCTGATGGCGTAGTGAGGTGTTGGGTGGATATATTACCAGGCAGGGGTAGTGTCGAGTGATGGCCTTAAACCAAGTTTCTATACAGACAATGCAACAGTTTATTTAGTGCACATGTTTCTGTGATAGCTTATGTGGTGGAAGCCCATTCAAGTCTTTATCACCCTGTCAAAGATAATTTTAGCAGGTATCTCTTTTCGAACTGCCCTTGGCTTCCTTCTTTACAGTGGAAGTTTTTTTTCTTGATGTTACAACGCTTTCCTGTCGAATTGAAATGAAGACGCAAGAAATTGCATGAAGTTGGATGTGCGACAACCAGTTGTTTCTTGATTAGATGCATCGGATGTGCTTCAATGCATTTCACAAAGCTGCAACCTCCATCGGAATTCTTCCTGCAGCAAGCCCTCCGAAATTTTCCATGCATCAGGCCCTCCTCCGAAATCTTTCCCGCAGCAGACCCTCCTCTAGAGTTTTTTCCTTTATCAGGCCCTCCGAAAATTTCACTGCAGCAAGCCCTCCACCTGAATTCTTCCTCAAAAACGTCCTCCTCTAGAGCTTTTTCTTACAACTTGGCCTACCACTTAAGTTGTTTTTTCTGCAAGACATATCCTACAGCTTTTACTATTAGTTGTTTACTTCCTTGCAAACTCCCCTGCAATACCGTAGGAGTCTTCCATCTACTTACAAACACTGCAGAAAATGCAGTCAAAAGACAATCACAGTTTCTACTTCCCTGCAAACTCCCCTGTAGCATTACCTGTAGGAGCTTTCTATCTACCTACAGACGCTGCATGAACTGCAACCATTGTTGTCCTTCTCTATAGCATTACCTGTTGGAGTATTCCGCCTACCAACAGACACTACAGAAACTGCAATAAAAAAATACAGCAATGTGGGATAAAAACTTCAAGTTTTGCCTCTTAGGGTCTTCCTCGCCCATTATTTGGAGTTTTCAAATCCAAGTTGAACATGATTTTCAACCATGTTTAAACTTGAAGAGAGTGTTAAGAGTTTTACAAGGAAATAATTTATTCCTGCAATACATTATGAGGAATAAATTATTTTTTTGGATTAAGAAGTTATTTCCTTTCCTATTTTATATTTATTTCCTTAGATTATGAGTTATTTCCTTTTCTATTTTAAGCTTTTCAATTTTATGTTATTACATTTATCTCCAAATAATTGATATGATTTAATTATTGGAGATATTAGGTGATATATCTTTTTTTTCATATTATTTCTATTTATTATATTTCCTAGTCTATGATTCATGTAAGGGTTATTTATATCCACTTTCATATCAATAAAATTATCCTGAATATCGTTTTTATTCTGCATTATTCTGAATTTCAACAATAATTATAATATTGAGTCATATGCATTATAATTGTATGATTCTTTAATTGCTCCATCCAATACCTCAGCCAAAATTAGAACATTAACCATAAAACACATTTTGCTAATAACCTTTAGTTTAAATATGATGCATGAGGCTTATGTTAACATAGAGTCTACATTTCATCCATACGTAAATCATATCTACACTAATATTTCAAATTTGATGTTTATGTGCTTAAAGAAACTTGTCAATAAGTCATAGTGTCAATTCCAAAGTGACTGAGAAACTCTTTTAGCACCATGGGCAAGTTTATATTTTTCTAATATATCATCGAGGCATAATCCATGCATCTTACATAGATTAATTTGTTGGTTTTACAAATTTCATGATAATATATAAAGAATTCATAATTCATATAACTTAAGGTTAAGATTATAAGGGGTTCAATTATTTTCTTGCCTAAAATGAACATGAGTACGGGATGTTCAAAGATAAAAGATGGACTTGACTACGGTTGGCTAGGATTTAGATGCAATTGCAATAAAAAATCAACTCTAATACCAACTAGATTTAAAAGAGGATCGTACTTGTTGCTAAAAATTAAAGGAGGGCCTACCCTTATGGATGCTCGTTATCGATTTATTCTTCTTCATCTATTAAATTTTCCTTAGAATTACATCATTTTTTTTTATTCATTCCTCGGCCAAGGGTGAGACACCAAGATCAGGATGCACAACAACCTTGAGACTCAAAGGATTTAAGCTAATGCAATTATGGGAACAAGCATAAACTCAGAGAATGATTTTTATTGTGCGGTGTTTTGAAAAGTAGAGAGAGTAGAAGGAGGGAGAAGGGAGGGGGGTTTTGAGAATTTATACTTTATGAATTTTAAAAGAGAAAGAGGGGTTTAAGATAATTTCACAAGAAGAGTGAGAAAGGGACTGGATGAAAGAATACTTTCTACTACTTCATATCTGGTTATCTCTAATACAAGCCTTCAATCCACATTTATGGAAACAAACAGACATTCAAAATCAACTTAATTTAAATCTCAAATATAGATTAATCTTGAGAATCCTATTATCTAATTAAAAAAATAATCCAAAAAATAAATGCATTAACAATTGCAATAAAATCCTAAAAAAATACAGCATAAAAGAAAATTGTAGAATAATTTAGAATTAGTTTTTATGCAAGCCTATCAAATGTGCAATTCTTATGTTGCAACGCAATGTTACAAACAAATATCATAATCAATTTGAAAATTAAACTTGAAGAATTTACAACACAATCTCTATGATACATTGGAGTTTACAATTAACTTGAAGCAAGGTAGGTCTTTGACATGCAAGGGCCTTTTACAAACAATTTAGGTTCTCATCAAAACTGATTCCTCGTATCAAGATATTCTCTGAATTTGTTAAAATGTAATCAGATCCTATCATTCAAAGGGACATAAAAGTAAATTCATAAAGTAGAAAGCTTTCTAGTCCTAAAATATCTTTTAGGAAGTATTTTTGTTTCTCTCTTGACATAATTTCCCTTGTAAAGTTGGTGACTTGGTGCTTGCAGGTATTTCTACATGAAAATTAATATTATTGAGCATGACATTGGTTATGTGTTGATCTATTACTTAAAACTAACTTAATCTCTACGGAATGATTCAACATATCAGATGCATGCTAGCATTCATTGTCATTGATTAATTTAAAAGACAGCATTTTCCTCATCTTTACATGTCTAATTATATGAAGCTCTACCATCACAATCTTGCCCAAAATTAGCATTCTTAGTTACTTGTATGTGGAATAGTGTCACTCATTTAATACCAATATTAATCAACAATTTCATCTCACCAATAATGTGCCACTCTCACTTGATGATTCAATCTTCTTGATTTGCTGCTAGTCCGCCAAAATAACGTTAGAACCAGAAATGACAACTAGGAAGCCAACAAAACAGCTTCAATTTTTCATCTAAACCATGACTTTCTGACTAATTTACAGAATTAATCCACAGGACGCCAACAAAGTTCTCAGCAATCAGAACATAGAAGCTTCATTTTACCTTAATAAACATGGCCATGTCAAGATACCTATACACCATCCATAAAGTTCCCATACTCACTAACCTATCTCACATGCACTTCTTCAGCAATCAATGTACACTACCATCGCCAAAACCACAAGTGCCAGACAATCTTCTGAAATTTAAGGTCGGATAATCCTTAGACACGGAAAAGATAACTCACTGAATCCTATCAAGATCAAGGGCCGGATCATAATCTGAATCCACGATGCGGGTTTTTCCTGAACTCCTCCTGGGCCTATAACTGCCGCCGCTGCTTAACCGCGCCACTAGCTGCCCTCCTCGGGGCAGTTTACATAAACGGAGAAGAGAAGGCGGTTTGGATAAAGGTTTTCCCAGCCGAAAACCACCGGGAACGCAGGTCAACTTAGAGTCTGGGGTACAGCACAGACCGGCAATTCCGGCCATGTTTGGGTAGAGAAAATTAGTAAAAGCGATTTCAAAGACAGAGAAGAAAAAGAAGGCGACGTGAAGGAAAGCGATGGGATGTTATTCAATGATGCTGGAGAACAGCCGAAGGAGAATATCGATTGGAAACCATTGGGCGTGAAACCTTGCTGCTCGCTTGGAGCGAGACGGAAAACTAGCGGGAGGCGGAGACAGGAAAACAGTAGGGAAATCTGATCCGCATATTGAACCTCAATCGCTCAATCTAATCTGCTTTTCTATTTATATTATCTTACGAAGAAATTTAAAATTTTTAAGTCGTGTATTCAAATTAAATTTTGGCTTTGGAGCCTTTTTTTTAACTGAAAAAAAAAATACATATTATAAATCTAGAAGAAACTCAATGGATCAAAAGACATCAAAGGGAAGGCATCAGCCTTGCTAATCAGTTGGTAAAGAACCCCCAAGGCTCTCCATGAGGAGAGTAAGGGTTCTACCACGATTTACACCACGAACATCCAAAAATACATTTTGTCCAGTGGTGAGCTATTTGTCGAAATATTGTGATTAACCTTCTACCTAACAATCTAGTCTCATCCTAATGACAAAAAATTACTTATCCAATGGTCGATAGTTTACAGCAAGACCAGAGTAGCAGACTGATGGAACCAAACCAATCGATCAAAGTCAAGTCGAATCGAAGATAAACAAAAGCCGAACTACAATCCAACTCAGCATATTCGAGCGAACAAGCCTCGCCAAACTAAGGCCGAATGATAGAATAGTCGAGTCATGAACTCATTTATGTAAATACCTAAAATATCTTGTAACGCCCTCATTAAAGCAGGGCAATCAGGTAATTAGGCATTATTGAATCAATATATGTTCTGTGAATCATAACCATGTATAGAGTGTCAGACGGATGAGAGAAAGAGAGTGAGATTAAGAGAAAGTGTGCACAGTAACACAGGAGTTTTGATAGAATAAATTTAGTACTCATTTACTGTAGAAAAAACTCATTATTTATAAATTTTAAGGGTATCTAGTGTATAATTACATGTTTTTCCATATTTTAACACGGGCGTTACAAGTCATATTCGTAACCGACTCCAACAACCTTTCATATTCATAACCGATCTTAACACAATTTCATATTTATAACTGCTTGGAGGCATCTGATGAACTGGTAACCTTACCGCTCATTAGTTGAAAGTATTTGGTTGGTCGATAGACATTTGGTCAGCTAAACAGTCATCGTCAGCCCTTTCAAAGGAATTCTGAGGTAGGCAAACTTGACCCGTCAGGTAGGTTATGTACCACCGCAATCTAATGGGTAGCTCTTTTTTTATAAGAAGTCTTCTCGGAGGATCAAAAAGGCGTTTCATGTGGGTCCTTTTATCCATTTTTATGAAGAGTTCCAGAATCGAGTGAGGGAACTGGTCATGAACGATTCTCCGTCGGACTTGGCTCCTTTAATTTATTTGTTCAGTTGTGCTTTCATTTGCTTGGCTCGAAGTTCTGAATGAAGGAAATAATGCTTGGTGTTTTCATTTTTTGACCATCACACTCCAATCTTCATAAATTCCAACGGGTCTCGCTTATGAGCACTAATAGTCAAAAGATAAAAACACCAAGCATCACTTACTTCAGAGGAACTCTAAACCAATTGAACAAAAGCACAACTGAGTCAATAAATAGAGGCTCAATTAAAGGCACAATCGTTCATGACTAGCTCCCTCAGCAAATGCCAAAACTCCTCATAAAAATGGCCAAAGCCCAACCACTAGAATAATCTCGACCATTGATCCTCCAACTTAATTGACCATTGTTAAGACTCCCGCCACTGCCTCTAGAAACTTTAAATACGCATTTTTGGAATCCCTTTACAGAAATGGATATTGAGTCTAAAGCTGACTCCGATTGAGAGACTTCGAGAAGGCTCCTTATCCAAAGAGAGCCACCTGTCAAATTATGGTGGTACACCTTCTATCTGATGCACCATATTTGACCTAATTATAGGAGGGTCTCTCCTACAAATTCCGTTGAGAGGCCAAAGAGAGCCACCTGTCAAATTATGGTGGTACACCCTCTATCTGATGCACCATATTTGGCCTAATGACAGGAGGGTCTCTCCTACGAATTCCCTTGAGAGGGCTAATTGACGACCTTTCAGCTGATTGAATGTCTATCGGCTGACAAACAGCGTTTAACCAATCGATCGAAAAGATTATCGAATCATCATATGTCCCTCTCCAAGCAATTACAAATACAAAATTGTGCTAAGATATTTTATGAGTATGAAAGGATGTCGGAGTCAGTTACGAATATGAAGTAGAGAATAATATCTTGTAATGTTACTATTAAAATAAGGACAAACTAGAAGGGGTCATTTCTACATTAAATGACTATGGAATTCACTCTATCAATACTCTTGTGATACATGCACTCTCTCTCTATATCTCTCTCAATCTCTCTCTCTCTTTCTCGTTGTTTCTCTCGTTTGTCTTGTTTTATATAGCTTGGGTGTGATTCACATGACATATATTGATTCAAAAGCCACATTGTACGCCCCCACCCCTCATATAAATAAGGGGATCATTTATACAGTAAAGGCTAATTAATCAAACACAATTCTCTAATTCTATTGTTCATTAATGTGCTCTCTCTCTCTCTCTTATTTTACACTTTATTCTTTGGGTATGACTTTCATTAAAATTTAGGTTCAAAATCCTAAAATGTGCAACGAATGTAGATCATACCAACAGTAAGAAGAGTAGCACTGGAAGAAGAATAAACCCACCACAAAGACACTGTAGACATGGAGTTCACCAGAGAGTTTGTACAATAACAAATTTAAGAGTTGAAGGGCCAGATAATGGATTAAATGCTAGAGGCCATCTGAGAAGTGGTGGCTTGAGGCAAGGAGAAGAACCTTTGGGAGGAAGCACTGTCACCTATCAACTGAAGGGTAACTTAAGCCCCAAAAATAGTAAGAGATCCCCAGTTCCAAGATAACACTAGATTTGCTCCGATTGATAAATAGTGATATAGCCGTACTAAGTCATCTCATCAATGAAAGAATGCATTCTCTTGATAGATTTTTTTATGTTGATCCCCTCAAGAAGTTCAAATTCTCCTTGTTGGAATCCTACAAGGGTCAAACTAGTCCAGGCGACCCTATTGCCTCTTTTGAGTTAATCATTTGTCTGTTGAGGATTACCAATGCTTTGAAGTGTCGACTGTACTTCATAATGTAGAGGGATTCAGCCCTTGAGCAATTCCAAGGACTATCGATAAGAGTGATTGCCTCCTTCATTGACTTCAAAAGAATGTTTGTGGCCTTGTTCACTTGCGCCTAAAAGTCACATAAGAAATTGCAGGCTCTGCACAAATCAGGCAGGGACAAAATAAGAGTCTTCACTTATTTATCACTCATTTTAAGAAGAATATGCTAGAAGTAGGGGATCTAGAACTCACAGTTGTACACGCTACCCAAGTTCAATGGTTGAAAGAGGGACCATTCACTTTGAATCTTCAGTGACCAAAAACTTTAACCAAATTGTTGGAGTTAGCTAATAATCATATTTTAGATGAAGAATACAAGTCCATTCCTGCATCCTCCAGGGTAATGCCAGGCACTCATCATTTGCAGCAGAGGTCTTTAGAGATGATAGGTGGAAATCGAGAAAAGACTTGTGTCCTTTCGCTCGACCATGATATGAAAATAATAGGTCACCCCGAGACCACACGGGGGCTAACAGGAACCTCAATTGAGGGGGCTAGGTTTGATACTCTGACTAATAGCTAGCTCGTTATTATGAGTAATCGTTGAATATCATGAGACCTCAAAGGCCACTCCACTAAGAGTCTTGATGGCAGAGCTAGAGGAAGCCATGCAAAATAATTGAGGGGGCTAGGTTTGATACTCTGACTAATAGCTGGCTCGTTATTATGAGTGATCGTTGAATAATCATGAGACCTCAAAGGCCATTCCACTAAGAGTCTTGATGGCAGAGCTAGCAGAAGCCATGCAAAATAGAAGGTAGATCTAAAAAGAATTGAGCATATTGTATAAAAATTCATCTTAGTAGAATTAAATGAAAATATGACACTCAATAGAACAAAATGGAGAAAAAAGATTCATGTAGCTGACCCAATTTAGTGGGATAAATGCATGTTACTCTTGTTTTATAACATACCCGAGCACCAAACCATTCTACAGTAATAATTAAATTATCTTCAGCTTAAAAAGATAGTAAATAATTAATTTTAAAGGCATTATAATGTAACCTTATCTAGTTATAAAGAGTGAAATCTAGAAATTGAAATAATGCAATTAAGCAAAATGCTTTCTCCAAAATAAGATTCATTCCATTGCTGTGAGCACTAACATGGCAACAGCTGATAGAATCGAAGGCAAGGGAGAGAGGGAAGTTTTAGTACTTGTCTGAAGCTTTTCCTTCCATGTGGGATCTAACAGAGTTATAACAGCTGGGTGGTACCTGAAACAATTTTGAATTTTTCAGCATTGCATCCACTAATAGAAAAACTAAATATATAACATTTGAATATGCTTTAGCTGTTCAATATCAGGCAGCAATAAATAGAAAGGATATTTACATACATACCACCCAATTCTGATATATTTACATATCTAACACCTAAACTTCAAATTTAATATATGTCACAATTTCTATGCATGGAAAGTGTGTTTCACTTTTTTCAAAGTTCGATGATAAAAAATAAAGTTTAGACACTTGAAATCAAAATACATTAGAATTGGGTGGTATGTATGTAAATGGCCCTAAACTTTAATATGAAACTTTCACGCTAGAAGCCAAAAAATTTTCTGCACTCTTTAGTCCCACATCGGAATAAAAAGCCATTTTTTTTCCATAAATTAAATAATATAGCTGCATACTCTACCTCATCTTCGGTTAACCCTATTTTCCTTGACTAAAGTATAACTGCATTTCACTTAAACTCGATCTCAAACAAACCCTAATTTAAGAAAATTAAATTTTTAACAAAACAAAGATTCAATTTAATCAAAACAATCTTTACACAATAAATTTTAACCAAACTCAAGGATAACGCTAAAACTAACCTTAATCACTAAAACCCGAGGATTAACCTTAATCACTAAAGCTCTAAAATTATTGCTTTTATCCACACGTCAATCTGATGATCCAAATTATGTTCTGTAAGTTATAAGTGCTTTGTAATCATGTCAATCTGATGATCCAAATTATGTTATGTAAGTTATAAGTGCTTTGTAATCATATATAAAAATTATGCAAACTAGCTTGGTGGTCATCAGACAATATTTTTACGTAAAATTGTGTAATTAGAAATTACATGAAAAGTGATGTCACATAAAAGTTTTCCAACGAGTTATTAATTTTGAAAATGGACTGTCACTATGTCTCTATCAACAAAACCTTTCAAATGAGACCTTTCACACCTAAATTTAATCAGAAGAGAGAAAAATAATAATTTTGATAATAAAATGATAATTTGATCATAAACACCTTAAAATAACTTAAAAATAAACTCTAAAGTTGTTTTAAATTAAAAAATAAATAAATTCTTTTTCCAATAAATCAATTAAAAATTCTAACTCAAATACCATCATTTTCTCTCTACTATGAGTTTGAGCCCACTATGACTGACCATGTCTTTGCATGGAAATTGAAATAACTAAAACAACTTGGGCCATTGGATTCCTTGTATTGTTTTTCTGTCAAATGAGCCTAAGTCAAATTTTTAACCATAATCACCTCCCGAACACCTAGCCACTTCAAATGATTATAACTTGAGCTAGAGACCTCCTTTTCGAAATGATTTAAAT